GTTATAGAAGACACAAGATGGTCTTTACAGGCAGTGTCCCTATTTCTCCCCGCAATATTCACAAGAGAACGTCACTTTCTGTTTGGCTGACTGTTAAAACATATTGTTCTACAGACAGACAGTTAAAAAAAAAAAAAGCTGAACTCTAAGAACTAATCAGGGTTTCTAATCAAACTCAAACCTATTTTCAAAAGCTCACCTAAAAATTACATTCATGCAAAATTGAATTCATCCACATGCTGACAAAAACCTACCCTTGATTTAGTCAAATCATCAGAGACCTGAAGATGTCAAATTGGTACCCCGTATTTAGTAACTACTGAACTACCCACTGGCATAAAACTATCAGCATCCTAGAGGCATTACAGGGTCCTTTTTTATTACCAAAAAGATACAGAGGCACCTGTTGGTGCAGTCAGTTGAGTGTCCGACTTTTGGTTTCGGCTCAGGTCATGATTTCAGGGGTCATGGGATGGAGCCCCACATCAGGCTCCACATTCATTGTAGAGTCCGCTTGAGTTTCTCTCTCCCTCTGCCCCTCCCCCCACAGACTCTCACACTATCCTCCTCCCTCAAATAATCTCTAAAAAAAAAAAAAAAAAAAAAAGATGCAATACACCATATAAGTACATACATTATATTACATAGTACAAAAAGCTACAGGAGACTTTATTCTCTGGTCTACCCTTCAGAAACTCGTTTTTTGGGGTTTTGCTTTTGGTTTTATTTGACTGTGGATCCTATCATCCTTATAATGATCAGGTTCCCCTCTTTACTTTGGCTGCTAAAAAACTTAAGAGCTAAACTGTGGCCCACTAAAGCATACAGTTTATTTAATAAATATACTTCCAGTACCATTTACCTTTTTTACCCTTACTTTCCTTTTACCTTTTTTTCTAATGTATTTTACGTAACTATATTGCTTTTATATTTGTGAGCAACTTAAATCTTTGTGGAAAATGGCAGCAAAAATAAATATTCCGGGCGCCTGGGTGGCTCAGTTGGTTAAGCGACTGCCTTCGGCTCGGGTCATGATCCTGGAGTCCCGGGATCGAGTCCCGCATCGGACTCCCTGCTCAGTGGGGAGTCTGCTTCTCCCTCTGACCTTCCCCCGTCTCATGTACTCTCTCTCTCTCATTCTCTCTCTCAAATAAATAAAATCTTTAAAAAAATAAAAAATAAATATTCAACTATTTCCTAACCAATAATAATTTTATAATGTTTAAGAAATCTGAAAGATTTTCCTTAACAATAGTAGCAGCTAACATTTATTGAGCACTTACTTGACACCAGGCACTGTTCTGAATGCTTTGCAAATATTAACTCATTTAATCCTCTTTACAATTCCATGATGGAAATATAATTATTCCTCATTTACAAATGGGAACACTGGGCACAAGGAAGTTAAGAAATTTGCCCAAAGTATACAGCCATAAAGCAGTGGAGCCAGAGTCTGAACCCAGACAATCAAGCTCCATCTCCTTAACCACTGCCCAATTGGGATGATTTTTCATTCATCAAAACTACATGATTTCTAAAACAAGGTATTTTTCAATTCCTAAAGTAAAAATGAGAATTAGAGGTAGAGCTAACTTCAAAAATGAAGTTTATACCCATACCAAAACCATATTGTAAATCTTTAAAATTCTGCTATACCCAATGACTCACAGAGAAATTGAGATTACGAATTAACACCTACACAGCATCTACCATGTGCTACGATTTGTTCTAATATATTTACTTATTGATTCTCTTCACAGTCCCATAAAGTAGGTACTATATCATCCCCATATTACAAACGAGGAGACTGAAGCACAGAAAGGTTAAGTAATTTGACTGACGTCCCTAGTAAGTGTGAAGTTAGTTTTTGAAACTGGTTTGGATCCAGAATCCAAACTCTTAACTGTTATCTTACACTGCTTCTCCATATGACAGAGATTAACTTCCTTGATTACTTCCTACACTCAAAGTTCAAAGCAAGCAAAACAAAACTGTTAGAAAAATTACTCTACATCCTAGATCTCAACACTGATTCTATCCACCAGCATCTATATTTTTGAAAAGTACCACATGTGATTCTTGTGAGTCTTGATTAATATCCACTGCCCTAGGTTTCTAAGCTAGATAGGTCTTAGCTGAGCCTCTGGGTGGGAGGGGTATGGGGATAAAGAAATACACATATATACACATATACACACTCACTCTCTCACATCTATATATATATTAGAACAAAGCCTTTGTTCCCAAAGGAACAAGACTGGAAAGGAGGGAAGCATAAGATAAAGCCAGAAAGGGAACACGGCTTTTTATACCATGTTAAGCAGCCTTTAGTATTATTTTAATGGTGACAGTGACAAAATAAAGATTTTTTAAGATTTTATTTATTTTGAGAGAGAGGAGAAAACGTGTGTGTGCATGCCTGCGCACAGGCTGGGTAGGGGCAGAGGGAAAAAAAGAATCTCAAGCAGACTCCATGCTGAGTGCAGAGCCGATGCAGGGCTCCATGTCATGACCCTGAGATCACCACCGGAGCCAAAATTAAGAATCAGATGCTTAATTGACCGAGCTACTCAGGCGCCCCAGATTTTGTTTTTTTAAAGCAAGAGACAATCAGATTTGTACATTACCAAAAAAAAAAAACAAACAAAACAAAACCTTCCAGTGGTGGTGTAGAGAGGGGACTGTGGGCAAAGAAACTGCAACAAGGAGAAAAATCAGCTAAGAACTCGAGACTAGAGGCGGACTAAATGGACTAAAAACAGAGAATGAAGAATATGCAGAAATTTAAGAAACTTCTTTAAGGTAAACTGGTAGGACTTGGTTCTTGATAAATTTTTATTGAAATGGATGTCTCCAAGTTTGTTTTACATGCAACCACTGAATGATGATACCATTAAACTAGATCTGAACTTACTGAGGGAAGAATAACTGGGTTTTGCTCGTCATGATGGTATTATTTGGGAGAGGAGGAGCTTTTGGCACAGAAACGTAATTTAGGTGGTATGATGGTAATGGGTGTCAAATTATGAGTGAGAATAAATGAGATGATGAAGCACAGTTCTGACATAAAAGACTAATTTTAAGAAATCAGATTATGGCTCAGTCAGCTGAGTGCACAACTCTTTGATTCCAGCTCAGGTCCTTATCTCTGAGTCATGGCATTGAGCCCTATGTGGGGGCTCCATGCTCAGCAGGGAGTCTGCTTGAGATTCTCTCTCTTCCTCTGCCCCTGCCCCGCTCATGCTATCTCTCTCTAAAATAAATAAATAAATAAAATCTTTATAAAAATGTCAGATTATGGGGCGCCTGGGTGGCTCAGTTGGTTGAGCGACTGCCTTCGGCTCAGGTCATGGTCCTGGAGTCCTGGGATTGAGTCCTGCATCCGGGACTGCTTCTCCCTCTGACCTTCCCCTCTCTTGTGCTCATTCTCTCTCTCAAATAAATAAAATCTTTAAACAAAAAAAAAAAGTCAGATTATGAAAGAGAGTGACTGGAAGGAAAGGGTGAAAAAAGTCTTATATTTCACAACTGGGCTTCATCATCTCAAGGATTCTCTCAAAAACAATCCATGCCTGAAAGAGGGAAGCAGAGTTCAAATGGAAAGGATCCCTTCTTGGAAAGACCTAAATTGAATCGGTCCAGACAGAAAATCAAGCAGGATAACTTTGAAGTATGTAATGAGTCAAACAGAAAATCAGCATCTGCTATGAAGACTTAAAAACTAACAAGACAATCAAAGAGCATGAATAATCAAAAAAACTATGACCAATCTATCATTCAAAATAGCCAATATGTAGAAGTATGAAATCTTTCTTAATGTTTTTATTATTTCACGTAATCCCAACAACTCCAATACAAACAACAATTGGCACCACCACTATTCTGGAGAAAAAATTTACGAAGGACAGAAAAGTCATACTTGCTCAGTTTCCCAAGGTCACACTTCAAAGTAACAGCAAAACCAAGACTATATGTGTTATTCTGCGGCCAAGTCTAGTGGTCCATACACCAAACCACAAAAGCTGTCAAATAATTCAAAATGGGATAAGGAGAGCAGCATAGAGAAAATGACTCAAACTCGATGACCAGAGGAAGCTATCGGTGACAAGTAAATACGTAGTCATTAGTTTTCCATGAGTCATCACCAGACCCAACTGTTTACGAAATACTCCCGCAATAGGAAATACTGCCTGTGGCATGTCATGACAGTCCTAAATAACAGGCATTAAGATGTGCCCTCGGAACGTATATAGGCAATATACAACGAAATCTCCTCCGCACTAATCCTAGCTCCTAACGAACTAGGAGGGAGTTAAGACAGGATCACAGATACTCCCCACGAGAACATCATAGAGACCTCTAAGAAATACAGTAACTAACGCCTTCCTAGACAAGAGTGAGAGAGTGTAAATCTCCTGCCCCCTGAGTGGAAACATGCCCTGCTGCTCACAAGCACCAGCCAACTCGGCAGTCTGGTAAAATGAATCCAATACACTCTTTTCTTCTAAGTGCACAGCTGCACAACACCTGTTTTCAGCTCCTCCCCATGGGGGCAAAGATGCCTTCACCAAAATGAAGCAGAGAAAGACGGGAAAGTTAGATTAACGCCTCAAAGGAAAAGAAAAAAAGACGCTGGAGTCAGAAGAGTAGATCTAAAGAACTAGAGTCAGGAAAAAGTGAACCACAAAAGAAAGGAACTAGGCAACTACCTGTCTCTTAGAAAAAGCAATACAAATTAAAGCCCCCTGCTGCGGTGCAGTGCAGAGCAGAACAGCGCCCGAGGCCTAGCTGGCCTTGAAGCAGGAGCCGGTCTCTAATTCCCGGACTGAGCCGGCAATCTCGAGAAAACAGCTGACACGACCAAGTCCTCTTCTCTTACATCCGCCACAAGCTGTTCCTGATACAGAATGGCCTTCACGTCCCTCCCCGACCGGCCTCCAAGCAACAAAAGCACACCGTCCCAGAGAAAAGTAGGGACGTTCGCCGGGGCCGTTACTTACCTTCCCGCTCACAACACCCGCCGCCGCCATGTTTCCTTCGCGTGCCTGTGATGACGTAGCAGCGCCTCACGTGTCTCTGGGATTCACAACATCCGTCAAAACTAGGCTGATATCCGGGCGGGAAAGGGGCGGGGACTGGAGGGAACAGCACGGAGCGAAGGGGCGGGTGAGAAGAAAAGCCTGGCGCATGCGTACTGAGTGGGTCGCAGGCCGCTAGGGTGGGGTCTCTGGTGCATACTGCGCATGCGCCAATTTTCCCCCAAGGAGGGAAGCTAAATTAAAATGTGTTTGCCTTTTCGTTTTCCTGGGGACGAGACTTTGAGCCACTCACAGGCCATTTCTGTTTGGTATGATGGCAAGAACATATATTAGGAGCCAGTAAACGTGGTCCTGGCTTTGTGGCCATAGGTAAGTCACACCTTCAGCCTCTGTTTCTCATCTGAAAATCGGGATAGTGAGACTGTGGCGAAGATTAAAGGAATCCCAGCCCTCTATCCGAGCACCCACACAGAGACTTTCCCCTTCTGTTTGTGAAGTTTCTGAATTTGAGTCTGATTACTGCAACTCACACATGACCTTGAGTAAGGTATTTTGATAGGAATGCGATAATACCACGCCCTTGTTGCTCCGGAGTCCAGAGCACATAGCTCATAGCTCCTACACAGTTACTTAATAGCTGTGTGACTTGAAACAAGTTTTTGAATTCATCCAAGCTTCAGTATGTAAAATAATTACCCATGGAGTGGTTGTAGGGATCTCATGGGTCAGTGCATGTGTGTCAAGATGATTTGTTGAGATATTAAGGTACTGTTTTGTTCTCAGGGCTGCAAAAGAATGCGGGGGGTGGGGGGGTAGAGAGGAGTAGAATGCCAGAGGGTGACCCCAAAGATCTGGGACTTTCCTTGCCCCAGGGCGGAATAAATGGCCCCTTTGTGTCAAAACATCTGTACCCACTGAGGTGATTTTCTCTCCGAACAATGGAGAGAGGATGGAGACTACAGGTTGGTTAAGTGGCAACCAAAGGGAGTAACAAAAAAGGAGGATTGAAAGTTCTGTGAGTATCAGGAACCTAATGTGTAAGGGAAGTGGCAAGACCTTCCAAGGGAATAGATTTGTAGTATCCATTAGGGAGGCTGCACACTAGGCATCAGAGATTCCAATCACGGCCAAGACCCCATGTCCAAGCTTGGCATTGAATTAGCAAAGCAAGTCACCATCAAAGGATAAATGAGCTGGGGAAGTGAGCGTATTAGTTACCAGCCCTGAGTGAAGACGAGGCCTTCCCAAAAGAACTGGATTGAGTAAGACCCCTAGAACCTTCATACAATCCTAGGTATGTTGTGTAGATCCTTAATAGTGACCCACATTAAACTTTCCACCAGCTCAAAGTAATTGGGTGTGGTTAGAGGAATTTTTTAACAGACATTTCTTACACCCTGTGTTTTGGAGAAAAGTTGAAGCCCTAGTACACTGCCTGGAACAGAACACTCAATAAATGGCAGCTATTATTTATATAATAAGTTTGGGAATTAAAGCTTTCTCAGTGTAAACCTGGCATCCTAGTTTCATCTGCTGCTTCCATGTTTTAAAGCCTCATCCTTCAGATGCCCCTTAAATGCTGACATTGACTACCCATGGGCTATCCTTGGGCTTCTTTTACTTTTTTCCAAGCACATTCCTAGACCATTATCTTTATATATTCTGACATCACCACCTCCTATGTGCTAATGACTGAAATATCTCCAGACCAAGTCTCTCCTAAAATTTAGGGCCTACACCTGTTGCCTGCTGGACCTTTTTACTTGAATGACCCATCACACCTCAAAAAATCCCAAATCTTTGCTCTTCAAAATATAGTCTGCAGACCAGCAGCATCTGGAAGCTTGTTAGAAATGCAGAATCTCACATTGGGGAGGGTATGTGTTGTAATGAGCACTGGGTATTATAAACGATTAATGAATCACAGACCTGTACCCCTGAAACAAATAATACATTATATGTTAATTAATTTAAAAAGAGATAAAAAAAGAAATGCAGAATCTCAGGTCCCACCCCACAACTACTGAATCAAAAGTTGCATTTTAACAAGATCTCCAGGTGATTTTTGTGCATGTTAAACTTTGAGAAGCAGTCTTAAATTTTGCTTTTGTTCTCTGAAATTTACTACCATTTGCTGAATTAGAGATGCAGACAGAGCACAATTTCTCCAGGAAAGTGTTGCTATCATGTTACCCAGTTCTAGGTAACTCATGGCATGAGTTTTCTGGAGAACTCATGGCAAACATCCCCACTGTGTCTCTCCTTCCTCTCCCCACTACCACTCCTACAGTTGAGGTCTCTGGTTACCCCTGGTTTGCATCTTAATTCATTCCCTTGCTTTCTGCTTCATCTTCCCCCTAATAATTCATAACCCCACCAGATTTGTCTTCCCAAAGCATAAATGTGATCATGTGAACTCCCTGCTTAAAATCCTTTAATGGCTTTACATTTCTTCAAGGAAAAAGTCCAAATTCTCCAGCATAACATACAAGGCCCTTCATAAACTGCTCTTGCCTCTTATTTTAGCTTTATCTCCCAACCTTACCCACTCAGACCCAAGTTGCCAACCATAGCCAAATATCTCCTGTTCCCTGAATATACCATGCTGTGTCCCAAGATCCCTTGAACTGCAGCAGATTGGCTTGGCTTGGATCCCTAAACCAATCACTGTGTCCCAAAATATATAGATGTTCTAATTGGCCAGATTTGACTCATATGCCTACAGCCCCAGTCAAGTACAGAGAATGACAGGAAGGGTAATTCCCAGAGAAAAATCAGGAACCATTCTAGAAAAAAGGGGAGTGGTTGCTGGGCAGGCCAAAGCAGACATTAATTACAGAGGATCCATCTTTGCACTCCCGTGGTATCACACTGTAAAATACCTGGTTTACTGACCTGCCTTCCTTTCCCTGCTAGGTTGTGAACTAATGGAAGGTAGGAACTACACTTTTCATTGCTATGATCATCACTCTTGGCACAAATGCCTGACCCATAGCAGATACTAAATAAAGGTTTGTTTAACAAATTAAATAAGTTCTTTACAAATGGCACAGTTAGGCTTTACATTCAAAAGGAAAGAGACCATTTTCCTTTTTCGGTGATATCCTCTATATGCAAAGGGAAGAAACAAGGTCGGGATTTCAGTGTAGTTTGTTTCATGTTTTAGTTTTTTACTATATTAGAAAAAATCATAGTACACTTACATGAAACAAATGGACAGGTTTTTAAAAGCATGCATATAAATGTAAATAAAGTAATGGGGCTCCCTGTAACTTAAAATAATTACTGTTTTCATGGGAGTGAGTAATTTTATAGTTCCTGAGTTCACTCCCGTAAACTATATAGTCATTCGCTAATTATAACTTATCACTCAAAAAGTTATCTGATGTAAAAGAATCTGAAGTATCCTAAAGCAACTTTAGACCTGGGCAGAACTTTAGCATTCGTCTCCCCATGTTTTTCATTTGAAGAAATTGAGTCTCTTAAGAGATTAATGATTTGCCAAATCACAAGCTGCTTTATAGCTGAATTAGACTTCATTACTGATACATGTCTTAGTCAGCTGTGCCACACTATCAGCTGAAAGTGATTACTCCCCTCTGTGAACTACAACATTTAATTACCCATTCAGTTTGATTCCCTCTCACCTCAGTTTCTGACCAAACTATTTGTCTTTCAGAGCTTATCCCATGTCACACATCATCTGTTAAGACTTCTCAACTTTGCCACTACTTATTGACCTCTACGTTTCCTGAACTCTTAGAACAGTCAGACTAAAGGGGCACCTGGATGGCTCAGTTGGTTAAGCGACTACCTCCGGCTCAGGTCCTAGGATCGAGCCCCACATCGGGCTCCCCCTGCTCTGCGGGGAGCATGCTTCTCCCTCTGCCTCTGCCTGCCACTCCCCCTGCTTGTGCTCTCTCTGTCAAATAAGTAAATAAAAATCTTTAAAAATAAATAAATAAATACCACTGAATTGTACACTTAAACAGTGGCTGAAATGGTAAATTTTATCGCAATTTTTAAATAACTGGAAAAAATAGAGGAAAATATTCAGAATGTAAGGTTAAGCAGAATTCTTAGACTTGACATCAAAATCATGATCCGTAAAGGAAAAGTGGATAGATTAGACTTTATCAAAGTTAAAAACTTTTGCTCTCCAGGTTGAAAAGGATGAAAAAAACAAGCTATAGACTAGGGTAAAACATTTGCAAACCACAAACCCAACAAAGGACTAGTACCTAACTTTTATAAGCAACTCCCAAAACTCAACATTTAAAAAATCCAATTAGAAAATGGGTAAAAGAAATTGCATTAATTTTCCATTGCTTTTTTTTTTTTAAGATTTTATTTATTTACTCATGAAAGAGAGAGAGAGAGGCAGAGGGAGAAGCAGGTTCCCAAGGAGCAGGGAGCCCGACGCGGGATTCGATCCCAGGACCCCGGGATCATGACCCGAGCCAAAGGCAGACGCCCAACCATCTGAGCCACCCAGGGGCCCCATTGCTGCTCTAAAAAATTACTAGAGATTTAGTTCCTGGAAAAAACACATCAGATGTCAACCACAGGTCTCATTGGCTTAAGATCAGGGTGTCAACAGGACTGTATTCCTTTCTAGAGGCTTTAGAGGAGATTCTATTTCTATGGTGTAAACCCTGACAGTTGGATTGTTTTTTCTTTTCTCTTTCTTCTTTTTGTAATGCAGGTGCCTGACTTAAGCTTTGACTGCAGAGGCATCCACTGCAAAGAAACATCCTCTTCAGTGATGACTGTTTCAAAGAAACACATTGCCAGCCACAGGACTAGATAAAGACCCAGGTTACCTCCCCGCACTGAGTTTCCTTTGTTTTAGAGATCTTGGTTGATTTTAATAACTGACCATTTGGGCCACTTGTTTTTTTTGTCTTCCTGCACTTTAAATTCCTACTGTTATGTTTTATTTATTTATTTTTAAAGATTTTATTTATTTGACAGAGGCACAGCGAGAGAGGGAACACAAGCAGGGGA